GCTGGTTTGTCAGTGTCAACGTTTCCTAAACCTAATCCCAGGGCCAACTTGTTAATGGGGCCCCTCAACAAGTGCTGTCTGATAGTCCTCTGTGAGGTTGTCCCCTGAGCAGGTAAAGAGAAACTCTATCATCTGCTCCAGACTGTGTGTGAAAAAGAGACTGTGGACACCGGAACGAGAGCAGTGGTGCGACTTTACCCACACCCGGTGCATGATGTCATCCGCCATGTTGATACCTCATGGACTATACGGTTACTGGGCAATCATTTATTCATTTACATTTGCTAATGTTCTTTGCGAGCCTCACCCTTGGTCATATAGACTGGCCGAGAGGTCGACCTCAGCCTTGTCTCGGACAAAGAGGACTGACTGACAGTTGTTACTGAAAATAATGATCATAATAATAAGAAAAAGAATTTAATAGGCCTGCTATTTATTCGTATTATCCCCATTCTGCAGTACAGGAACAATGAAACATGTCCAATATTGAAATCATGCTTGTCTTAATTAAGATCCAATAAAATTATGCCTGGATTAAAATAAACTAGAGATTTAATTTATTTATTTAGTGCATTTTTGTTACACCCTCACCCAACATGCTTTGCAGTTCCAAGTCTCAAGTTAAATAGTTGGACTTTACGCCTCATTCATTCAGTTTTATCCATCAATTTCTAAGGTTCATGAAAAAAAGTTTTAAGATTTTCGTTTTCGAAACCTAAGGTATTTTTGATTCTGTCTTACTGCTTGAATTTATTAGTGCCCCACTGCCGGAATATGGGGAATTATCGTTCAAACAGCGGTCGTTGATGATTTATACTGTGCCCCAGCATCTACTGTTAATGTACGTAACTCCATCTAGTGGCTGCAGGATGGAGCTGCATGGTCATATGCACTCCTAGCACATAGTGTGTGTGTGTGTGTGTGTGTGTGTGTGTGTGTGTGTGTGTGTGTACTGTAACAATTATATTTAGGCTGAATCTGTTTTCTTTTTCATTCATTGTCATTATTTTCCTTTCTATACCATTGATTCACATGTATTTATATTCCATGTCAAAAAAGTAAATTGAAATTAAATTTGAGAGAGAGAGAGAGAGAGAGAGAGAGAGAGAGAGATCATTTGTGAAGAATAAAAATCCAATAAAACCGTAGCAAAAGAATATTTATTCTTTTTTACCGTTCGTTCCTGGAAAGTGCATCATAGATTTTACAGTAAGCAAAATTCATATTTAAGACATGAACACAACCGAGCGACATTCACAATCATCATTTTTGGACAGTGTGTTGCATAGGAGGAAACGTCTCTTAAGCAAATGTATAAAAATTATTTATATTCAGATGAAAAGGGGGGAGGTCGACGTGGGCTTTGTTGTTCCATCAGAGCAGGTGTTGTTGGTCAGTTGCTATCTTAATGCTTAACCATGGCAGCGAACTCTGCGGGGGAGACAGAGGAGAAGACAGAGTTGGTATCCGCTCGGAAGTTCCACCAAAATCATCCAAAGTCGCCTATGCCTGACAACATACCATCAACGCCAATCTTGCCGTCACCGTCGGTGTCACCGGCCTTGAGGAAAGTCTTGGTCTCGGCGTCGGTCAGTGCGCGTGCACCTGCCTTGAAGGTCTGCAGGAACAGCCTTAGACACACAGGGGCTGTGGTTAGTTCACGGACCCTTGCGCTCACTTCATATATAACCTGACCGCAGAACTTCCAAGTTTTCATTCAAATACTTGGACACACATATCGACACTGATAGTTGTTCTTTTATTGGATGTAATGAATAATAATAATAACAAAAACACAATTAAAGATCTGCAGCCAGTTGGACAGAGGGAAAAACAGGACACTGGCTAAAGATAGTTTGACCCTGTGCGCATCTCCACATTCCTTCAGTCCACACAGCAAGAACAAACCCCGCTAAGTCCAAAAATGTTATTCACTGGGCTTACAAACATACGCATTAATTAATAATAGAAGATGCAAGAATAGCATTCATAAGCACTGACGTGTGGATGTAGGCTTTGTTTTGGACAAAGGGAGTGGTGTTGTGATTGGTGTGCGTCTTACTTCAGCTCCTCCTCCTCAATGAAACCGCTCTTGTCCTGGTCGATGATGGCGAAGGCCTTCTTGACCTCGTCGGCAGACTTGGCGGCCAGGCCACATGCCTTGAAGAACTTCTTGTGGTCGAATGAGTCGGCGTCTGAAATCAATGGCAGGTTGGCAAATGAATAAATAAATAAAACATGGTAGCTGTTAATGCTCCAAATGACAAAAGCCACTCAGGGAGGCTGTGACCGTGATTTTGTAATTGCCAGCACAGGACTCACTCTTGCACGCATCCAGGGCTGCAGTGATTTCAGCATCATTCAGTACACCTTTGAAGGCCATTTTGATCTGTAGAAATAAAATCAAAAGCGATGATCTAAACTTTTTAAAGTAGGATAGGTAATATTATGGCTAAATAATCACAGGGGAGCAGGTCGGCTACTTTTTGGTATCGCATATTATATGGATTATGGTTCATATTTCTTCCTAATTCAATAGGAATAGAAAGATTTCACATTTCAAATGGCAAATTAGTCAGTCCACTTATTTATGAATGGCGCGTTTGATGTTACATTTCCAAATCCCATTCCAGAGGCTGGATCGACACTGCAACTCTATAGAAGCTTGGAGCTGTGACCAGTAATCCATGTCTTCATGCAGCTGACGCTCCCGCACCAACAAAAAAAAAAAAAAAAAAGGAAAGGAAAAATTCATCTCGTTCTTTAGATGCGGCATTGCAGTGAGAAGTTGATTTCCTTATTTAAACGTAATGTTCAAAACCATGAATGTTTTCTCAAAAGCGCCAAGCCTGATGCTGCGGCTTTGTCTCTGCACGGGTCCCGGGGTTTCTTTCTCTCCATTCATTCAAACTCACCTCTGATGTCTTTGCTTTGTAGGGTACAGATGATACAGAGAGGTCTCGAGTCGACTGCAGTGATCTTCCCGCTGTTCCCGGTGACCTTTTATAGTTTCACTCCATCGAAATCTGAGGCATAAGATAACTGACACCCCCGGGGACGGGGGTGGCGAAAATTTGTCCTGCAGTCAGAGAGCGGTCTATTTTAAGTTTCACAAATGAAGACGCTTAAAAGGTGCGTTTGAAGAAGTCTTCACTATCCCCCAATGCTAAGAATAGGCCTGTGCACTGCTGAGGAGGACGAATTGCAAGTGCTGCTGGCAACACACAGCAATGAAGGTGGATACTGAGCATGCATGCATTAGAGCTGGCGTAAGTGGCACTAATTGGTTGTTTTCCCTCTTTTCGTGTAGCATTGTTGATTTGGAAGGCGCTGGCTGTTTTATTCAGGAATTTCTCTTAAGTCTACTTGGCGGGTTTGGGGAAAACAGTCGTTAAATATGATATGCCGATTTATGTCTTGAATGTTACTGGGAAATGTGCAAAAATAAATTATAGTTCACTTGGTGAGAAACATTCTTTTGCTGTGTAGGCTTGTTTAACATTGGCAGAGTCTACCTGAGATGCCTAAATGATGCAGTCATTTGTATTTTGTCAAATTAGACTTTGCCTTAAAATCAAGTTCCACTAATCCACTTCAAATCAAACCAAGCACAAATTTCAATGGGTCCCATTTTGCCTGGAAAGTCAATTGTATTTCACATATTCTAAGAAAGTAATTATTTTTATTTTTTTTTATTACATTAGTCAACGTATACTGAGTAATTCTTTTGGGAAAAAACCCTCTTCAGTTAGGCTGTTTATTGCACCCGGCCTCTTTCCTTTGTGATTCCATGTATCATTCCTGTTATTTTAAGAGCTTAAAATGTTTCAAAGCACAAGGAAGTGTCCATGCTGTTAAATCTTTTTTTTCTCCTCCAAATCAAGTTCAAAACCAAGTTCTTGTCATTACACTGTGCAGCTCCGCTTGTAATGCTGAGAGAGCAGCTTTGACCTGCAGGTGGCAGCACTGTCCTGGTGGTGCTGAAGCCTGAGGAATCAGTTGACCGCCATCATTATGTCTCTGTCTGTTTTGACCACTGGTTGGTCATCTGATAGTGTTGAGGGTTTACATATTGCTGCCTTGCAGTTCCTTGAGCATTCATAACTTCCACTTGGACTGTAATTTGACTTTGATATGACTGATGAGCTGTTCTCATTTCTTTCTAGGCCAGTTTATGTACATGGAATATTCTCCAAGAAAATGCAAACACTGCAGGGAAATTAAACAATTTGTCAGGAATTCCTCTGACCACTAAAGATTTGCATCTTAGCAGCAGATGTAGCCTGCTAAAAGTTCCTGCTGATGCATCGGTGGCTGTTAATAGCCGTCCTGTTGCCACAGCACATCATGTAATTGACTACTCAGCAGTTGGAGAAAAAGACCTTGGAACAGAGCATCTAATTAAACTATGTGTGACAGCTATCCATTGCAAACCTCCCTGGATCCAGGAAGTGTATGCGAGCAAAGCCCTCGGGCCAATCCCACTGTGTTTGCCAGCTCCTGGCTTGAGTCCAGCTACACTCCCCTTCTCATTAACCAATTATCAAAACAAGGGCTGGGCAGGTCAGTTCAACCGTCTCTCAGCACCTCCCAAGTATTCAAAAACCCTGGCAGGTGGAAACCCCTTTAGCACCGCCCCTTCCTCAGCCCACTGTGTTGACATAGCTAAGTGAATACAGTGGGTCGTATGATACAAGAGAAGTTGACCAATTAAAAGATGACTGACCTGAACAAGATGACTTTAGACCAAAAGAGTATTTATTCCTGGTTTTTCACTCTTCCTCAGAAGTGCAGATGGTGTTGTACAGTTTGCACAAGTCATTTTTCAGAACATATAACACATTGTAATAACATAAACAGTAAAATGTGTTCAATGTTGAGAAATGTCTGCAGGCAACTCATAAATAAGGTATAAAAAATATTCTTTCAGCTGATGAATACTGAATCTTGCAAGGAGTTCGCAGTTCCGTGAATGGAAGTGGATCTTGGTCAATGGAAATTTATGCCTTTACAAGGGCGGCAAACTCTGTGAAAGTAGAATAAAACAGCTGTTAGTGGAGAACAAAATGTATTCAGACTCTTATGTTATCATTATGGTATGATCTAGAGTGATTGGACCCCCTCTGTGACCTAGAGGTTGAGTCTTTGCAGATAATAGTATGTGAATGGATGTGAAGAATTAAATTGTAATACAGATTAGTTTAGAGCCCACTGCTATCAGGCATCAGAAATAATCATGTTGTCTTTGCTGTGTTCTGCTGCATTCAAAGATATATAGGAAAGAGCGTCCTGCTCCACTAAAGAACTCTTACCATCAACTCCGATCTTGCCATCACCATCACTGTCACCAGCGGCAAGGAAAGCCTTGGTCTCCTTGTCGGTGAGTGCTCTGGCACCAGCAGAGAAGTTCTGCAGGAACAGCCTGACAGGTGGACAAACAGGAGAAGTTGAAATGATCTGCACCTCAGTCTGTATTGATTGCATTTACATTAGTTAGAATAAGTTTCCTTTTAAACTGTCTCTGTGTTTGTGATTTCACAACAGGATGCTGTGTTTCCAAAAAGCCTTTCCATAAGGATTTAAATGTACAAAGTCATGCAACCTCCAGGCTTCGTTCAGCCTCTCCTCTCTTTAGTTTCATTAGTGCAGTCAGTGTGTTAATTGACTCACTGATTAGAGTCAAACTAAGATAGCATGTACAAATGAGGGGAGAAAAGAAAGGCTGCATCCCTTGTTTTCAGAATGATTTAGACCTAACTTAAACATGACACAGTAATACTATATCTGGTGTATATTTTGAGCCACTGAGGCCTAAGCATTGAGTGTGAAGTGCTGGAATGTCTTACTTCAGCTCCTCCTCCTCAATGAAGCCGCTGTTGTCCTGGTCAATGATTGCGAAGGCCTTCTTGACATCTTCAGCGGTCTTGCCGGCCAGACCGCATGCCTTGAAGAAGGTCTTGTAGTCAAAGGAGTCAGCAGCTGGAACACACATTTTAACACCATTAGCACCCAGGCTGCATGAGCACAACATGGCACTTCTCTGTTGATGTAACGTGATAACTGTGTATCGGTTGCTTAGATTGCAGTTAAAATGCACGATATGCCAGAAAATGATGATAATAAGAAGAAGAATGAGGAAATGGATTGAGTGCATTGAATGGTTGGTTAACTGTAATACTAAGTGAAAGAGGCTCACCTGAGCAGCCATCCAGAGCTGCTTTCACCTCGGCTTCCTTGAGGACACTAGCGAAGGCCATTTTTTTTATCTGCGAGGGGAAAGAAGACACAGGTTAGGGTTAATGTAAGCATCACAAATCCTATACAGTGGTCTTATTTTTGCATTGCAAACCATCTGAAATAAAACATTGTGTATCTAGGACATGCATGTTGCCCTACTCTTTGGGCCTAGAATACAGTAACTTCAGAGGTTTTCAGAGGAATGAATGTGCCTCTGTTAAATGACATGAAACAGCTTTGGGTCTGAGGACTCAGTGTCCAAACATTAACCCTCCAACAATGAAACAAGGCTATTCCTGCAATAGCTTCACAATAGAATAAAAAGTTCACTGTATTGGAAAAGAATTATTTTCAGCCATTTTCAAAGACACTTGCTTATTTTGTTCAGGATTAAACCACTTAATTGCTTTGATTTGCAAAGCCTGGCATGAAGCACCACCAGGCCTGTTTTCTCTATGGGCTAAAGAGCTACTCTTTGCCCTCTGGATATCTGATCACAGCTCAGGTCTGACTCTGTTTATCCCAAAGCGTTATGCTGCTATGGTACAAAATAGATGATGCTCCCAGTGAGAGAACAAATCATGGCAACACCAATCAGTGCCACAAATAAACAATGCAGCTGGGGAAAAGGCATCTTTAGCTTTAGGTTTGATTTTTTTTTTCTTTATCCGGTTAAGAGAGATAATGTAAAATAGCACATTTATCATCCACGAACGTTAATCCTTTGAAACCAAATGGACACACTTGGCCTCCTTTTCACACTGTTTGAAAAGTCCTTCGGTCCGAGCAGTTGTTGGCTATGGTGGTTCCATTTTTCTCTCTACAGATTATAGTCCACGGGGAGCTCCTTCTCTGAATCCCTGTCCTCCCAGTGCAATCTGCCAGAAGTCAGTGTGGCCTTTGCGGGGCGCACTTCCCACTCACCTTTGAGCTGCGTTGAGGCGAGTGAAAACCAAGGCGGACTCGAGTGAATGCTCTAAGCCACGGTCCCTCTCTCTTATATATCCTTGAGCAACACCATTTACAGAGCTTTGAGTCTCAGTATCAGGTACCAAGATGCATGGGTTTCGAAAAAATGTGTCTAGTAGTCTCAACCTATTTTTAGGTGAACAAATGAGGATGCTACCATGTGTGAGGAGGCCTATAGCTAGACGTGTGGAAACCTGAGCAGGCCCGCTGCTCACTGACATGTTGCACTCATATGATTTATCGTCAGCATTTAAGTGGCTGATTTCGATGTTACAAGTTTCATCTGACGATATAGTCTAACTGAAATGAATGGAAATGTGACAGAGTGCAGCCATGTGTTATCCCTTGCTTTGGTCCGTGATTGAGTCAAATGCCAGAAGCCGTCCACGGTCATAATTGACAGATCAAATGTTTAAGTCACCACTTTAACGCTGTTCATCTCTCTGAAAACAAAAAGCCTATCAGGCTCAGGCTAAATGCTGCCATTAAAACACTTGGCTTTAATCTCCTTTGCGTTATCATTATAATTTTATATAAGATAATCGACACATACCTGTGTGAGAGACTACTTGTTTGGATTTATATAGGCCTACTGTGTTTGTTTATTCCGTCTTGTGTGGTGTCATTAAAATGCATTATGAGCCTTCAGAGCGTCTGTCAAACTTAACAGAGCTTTACATGATAGCTACATTTGATCTGTGGCAATTGTCTGTGGTAGAATGTGAATGTACTTCAACGTGTAGTTTTTTCCCATATAGTTTGCATTGTAATTTTTATTATGAGTCCATTATGGATTATTGGAGATAGACTTTCTATTCTTGAAACTGAAGGATTGGAGTTGCACCACCGCCCCAAAAATGGTCTCAGCTGATAGTTATGTGCGGCCCCTGTCTATGTGCTGCCCTGTAACATTAACTAGCTATACCTAAAGTATAGGCTACAGTTGTCCTAGGCTATATTTCCATATGGTTCATCAGAGCTCCATATGCAGGGAGTCGAGGTTGAGAAGGGAAAGAGGGACAAGGAGCGAACTCAGCGCCCCATCAGAGACAAGACTTAGGGGCCCATACCGCCAGGTCCCTTTCCTTAGTAGGCAATGCACCAATCGTGAACACGTGAACAAGTTAGCAATATGTTGACAGCTCATTTTTACTCTGACACGTTTCCATATAGTCCTGAACGCAGCTCATTTTTCGCGCTTAGTAATTAAACCAAGGATGAGATTAATCAGTCATCAGGGAAAGTTAACCCAGAGTCTCTGTTCTGTAAACTATAGCCTATATAAAAAGTATTTTCCATAATTGTGGTATGATATTTCTGCATGGTCTGCAGGAATGCGGAATCTGTCCAGCAGAAGGCAGTGCTAGTCCTAATAAGGAATTCGTGGGGAATTTTTGGATGAAACCATGTGTCCTGAGATTTGAAGGGGGGGGGGCATCTACCTGGGCAATCATTCTAATATCATATCCTAAATGTTTCCTGTTTGATACTTGTTTTTATTTCTTAGTAATAAATTGTGAACATTAATTTAACAGATGTCTCTTTAATGAAGCACATCAAGAACCATATGATGAAAGGTTCTAATGAGTTTCACATCAGCACAAACACATGATATGATGCAAAGACTTCAGACTCAGCATTAAGTGACTTTGAAACCCTGAATGGGCTCTCAATTTATCTTTACATCAGGAATGAAATGGGTCTCTTCATGCATTCTCCATTACAGGCTGATATAAAAAATAATGACCAGCAGACATTGATATCACATCTAATAAATACCTTTATTAATCAATTCCAGGTACCTGATTGATTTAATACACACACAGCTAATAGTCAGCCTTAGCCGTCTGTCCACCAAACATCTTATGCCATTATTATATCACATCAACAAAGGAGAGCAGCAGGCAGGTACAGAATATCTGAGGTTTCTGGTCTTTGCATCAAACGATCTGGAAAGTGGGGACTTCCATAAGAAATCCATTATTCAAAAACAGGGAAAGAAAGCTGCAGTCATGTGTATTTATTCTCTTTATTTCAGGAGATCACAGAACTCTGTAGGGGGGGAAAAAAGAAACAGTGGATTAAGTTTTTTTCAGGCAAGAAGTCAGTGTCATGCAGCATTATGGTTAAGCAAGATGACTAAATAAACTACTAATTATTTATTTCCTTGTCTGAGGGCATCGTTCTATAGTTTGGTTGCATGTGCTTTTTTGATAGACTGCAATTTCAGCACTAAGTAGTGGACAGCTCCTCTGTAAGCATGGCTCCTTTTCTCATCTGCCCACAGTCTTTTCAGATGTTTTACAAGCACCCACCTTCCATTCCAATCTTGCCATCGCCATCCCTATCTCCTGCAGCCATCAGACTCTTGGTCTCAGCCACAGTCAGCTCCCTTGCCCCCGGGGAAAAATTCTGAAGGAACAGTCTGATGGGGAGGTAGAAAAATATCAGCAATAAGTTTGGACTTGAATCAAATCAATAGACTTTATCTTTTCTGATGGCATTTTTCCACCTTCGAGGCCTCTCTGAGATGTTGTAATCCCTGTCTCTGTCGCTCACCAGCCCTCCCCTTATGTATTTCTCAATTCATTCATAGCAGAAATGCTGCTCCATTCATGCACTAAACCCCTGCCCAAGGGCCATTGCAAGGGATTTACAAAATAGATGTATGTACACATATACACATACACAAACACACCCACACACCCATCTATACCACCCATCCTTTAACCACACACACACACACACACACACACACACACACACACACACACACACTCGCACACACACACACACACACACACACACACACACACACACACACACACACACACACACACACTCACACACACACACACACACACACACACACACACACACACACACACACACACACTCTGTCCTTACTTGAGCTCCTCCTCCTCAATGTATCCACTCTTGTCCTGGTCCAGGACTGTAAACACTTTTTTCCCGTCTGCCTCAGATGAGCCGGTCAGTCCCACTTGTGTAAAGAATGACTTGAAGTTGAATGTGCCTGGAGCTACACAGGCAAAGAGAGAGAGAGAGAGAGAGAGAGAGAGAGAGATAGAGAGAGAAAGAGACAGAGACAGACAGATGTGAGAGTGAGAGGTCAATCACAGAATGACAAGAAAGCAAGAATGGTGAGAGGCTGAATGGAGATGTCGCATTTACTCTTTCGCTCAGATGACTTTCATTCTTCAACCGATGACATTTACCAATATACACCCTGTAGCGCATCACTGTCTTATGCCGTGATAGGCTATGTCATTATGCCATTGAAACAGTCAAAGCACACTGAATATCGCCTGCGGCTCTAATGCAAACCTAAATGTTAAAAGCCCTTAACTTATCAAGCTGCTCTGATCTAGGATGAGTTACCTTCAAGTCATTGAAAATGAATTATTGAAGAAGACTTGCAGTCACTGTATGAGAAATTAGAATATTTACACTTACACTTAAAACTAAGTAATCTTAAAATTAGAGAGGGGAATTAAAAAAAATATCCCTAACCCAATGGTGATTTCCCTTTCATTAGATATTTTACTTTTGCGCCAATCTTTAAAATAAATCTTAGAAATATTTGTTCCTTTTATTGATACATGAAAAAAATACACCTGACAAAGCCTGAAAGTATTTTACCTAAAACATATCTAACAGGGGGGGTTTCTTGAATAAAGGGCATGTAAGCACTGGCATTTGATTTTCATTGGAGCGGGTGAGCTGTGTCTGCCTTGTCATGCAGACATAATTGCAAGAGATAAATAATTAAGTGCTTTGGGATGTGAAGACTGTAGCTTATGTGATTTGCTGTTCTCTGTGAGAATTCTCAACATAAACACTTTGGTATCTGGGTGGTAACTGCCCTCCCACCGCATGGCTGCCAGGTTACCTGCAGGCTCCCTGTCCCCACTGTGAACAACACATCATACTGCTATCCCCTGTGGGAGTGGGAGTTGTTTTAACGTTGCCCGTGTCTCTCTTTCTCTGTGTAATATGTAAGTGAATTTAAATTCACTTACGGTAAAGTATCTGTTATTGTGTTAATGACTAGATGCTTGCATAGTGTGTGTCTCTCTGCTTGCGAGTGTGTGTGTGTGTACTGTCTGACTCACCTTGACAAGCCTTGACCGCAGCCTTGATGTCCTCGTCGCTCAGCATCCCTGCAAATGCCATGGTCCTCTTTGGCTGCCTGAGGGATGCACACACACATACATGGAAGAAATGCAAAGTGACAGTGAATGAAACTGGCACAGGTGTTTTCTGCTGTCAGATAACAGTCTAAAAACAGTCAGAACTTGTGGAAGGATTAGGCATCATCATTCCTCTGTGGGTAGTCTGCAGGTACACCAGCACTGTTAGAAACCATGAAGCTGAGTTGTAGATTTTATCAGGAGGGCTGTACCATTTTGACAATAAAGCACAACCACATTAACAAAGGATATAACTCTTTAAACTACTGTTTTCTCAGCTGCAGAGATATTTCATCATATGACATGGTTTAAATCATATGAGAATCGGCTGATGATCCAAGCTTTGTTTTACAAAATAAAAGAATTTCCTTTCCCACAGAGAAAGTTGTTGCAACTTGAAGGAGCAAACACAAATAGGGTTGAACATCCTATATTTTTCCTCTCACATTTTAACATTTATTTTCTCGTCCTTTAAAGAAAAAGAATTGAGGTGCTCCAAGGCACAGACACACACACAAGAACTGCCAGCTATCATCACTCAAACACTGCCGTGCACATGAATTTGCAAAAAGCTTGGTACTCACCGTGCTTCGGGTGAGGTTTGCACTCTCTGAGCCTCTGATGTGCAGATCTATGCCTCTCTTGCTTTGTGCCTATAAGCCACCGACACTCTCTTGCAGCTTCGTGATCCAGAGTGCAAGAAGCAACCTGACGTATCTGTCCTCAAACCCAGGGAGATTTCCCCCACGCCACAGAATGCCTCCTCCTCCTTCATCAGTTAATCAGAGCAGATAATTTTCTCACTCATTGTTTTACAAACTTGCAGGCAAACAAATTCACCAAAAATAATGATAATTAAAACTGATAATCATAATTATAAGTGTATTTTTTATGCATTGTAACATTTATCCCATTACTTCTGCTTTTACTACAACCACCGCCAGCACTAATAATGCTATTGCTATTCTTAATATTAATATTAAAAAGGAATAATAATATAAAAAAATGCAAAACATTTTAGTAGATGAGATAAATGTGAAAATTATCATCATAAGTTTTTTAATTTACTATTAATTATGTCTGGTAACTTTTTAAAATGTGCAGTAAAGAAACTGTAAACATGAATATGTAATTGTCATATTCTAAGTCTTCTACTGTTTTAACAAGCATACAAGCAGAAATTAAATCTGTTGATATATTTTTTCTATTAAAGTTCAATGACAGCTCATAATAATATCAGTTATCACATTCAATGGCTTTAAAGACATTGAAATTACATTGTGTCTGGAAAAACTTGAATGTATATAGTATATATAGGTATATATACAGGTCTGTCATTTGAACCAATAGGCTTTACTGTTCAAGAGCATCCTTTCTATATGGGGCTATTGTGATAAAAATAGTATTTAATTTTGCTTTTATTGTTTCGTAATGGAAAATATCGTGTTTCATGGTAAGTCTAACATCAAACAATGTTAATATGAAATCACTGCAAGAAAAATAATCCACAAAAAAAAAAAGAAAAAAAGATCACGATGCTTAAGCCAGCATCAGTATACCAGTCAAATAACCCTGTCCGCCTAGTTAATGGGGCTTTATGGTTGTCCATAAATCCAGAAATAAACATTTTACATACACAGGTACTCTTTCCTAATCAGTAATGTGTCCCTCACATGGTTGGCAAGTGACTGCATGTATAAAGCTTTTTCAGCTTTGATACAAAGCGCTGGATTTACATGACTGATAAAACAGGTCGACGCTGATTGGCTGTGTGTGTTTAATGCGAATATACTCTTCGTTGTGATTGGCTCAAGTACTTGTCCATCATTTGAAGTTTTACGCCCCATTCGGTGATGTGACGTTGTACAGGAACATGGCGCTTTGGAGGAGAGGTGTTCGATTATAGTCAGGGCTACTGGCTAATTTCATTTAGCTATGTTTTTTTAAACAATATTAAGGTACAAACATCAAAGATGATAGGTCGCGAAAGGTGATCGCTCCTTTCGTCTCTATGGACAACGGAACACTACGTTTGGTAGCGGTGTTTGCTGTCGTCAGCTAAAACTGTTAGCATTGACATGCTAGCTGAAGCTAGTTAGCTGGCTTACAGTCGCCAGACAAACAGAAAATATGCTTGTTTATGTAGCCTACACTGACGTTAAACTCATTATAATCAATGATTAAAACGCTTTATTTAGCATCAAATCAGCCATTTTTCGTTTAGGACGACGATTCCAGTTAGCTAACATTTCGTTAGCTAAGCTAGGAGGATGGAGAGCCGCCATGGATATGTTTTGTTGCTGGCCAGTGGGATTTTTCTTTCGGTGTTTTGGCTGTCTGAAGGTGCCCCTCTTCAGTATCCCCACAAATCAGGTGAGACAGCTGACTGCAAGCTGATACACAGCTAAGCGATTATTTGCTCTCTCACTATAACTACTGTCTGTCCAGCTGCTTAGCTAGCAGATGTTTCTGTCAGCTAATATCTCCTAACTTGGGTAGCTGTTGCTAATCAGCAGCTAAAAGCTAACAACACAACAACCTGGCTGTATTTCCTGCTAACCAGTGGGTATATGTATGGACACTTGTAGTAACTGACTGTTGTTTGTTTGGTCACGAACAGTTTACAGAATATAACTACTTTTTGTGTAAATGGGCAGATAAGATTTTTAATAGTGATAATAATGGAAAGTAACAGAATGTCACCGTCACGACTCAGCTAATACCAAACTGGGAAACATAAACATTCCTCTAACAGTGCTCAGAAAACACTTATTTACCTAATCTAGTTTGATTGTGATTGATATTTAACACACGTCAGTTTCCAGGTAGCAGTAATTTGTCTGAGTTAATATAATACAGCCCATTCTAACTGCAGGTTCAGGCATGTTAACCTTTCACTAGGGTTGGTCCACACATTGACATATAACCAAGTTTATAGGACAATAGAATAGATGTTGGACTACCAGCATGGAAACACTGTTTCTTCGTGTTTTGAAGTGAATCTCTTTGATGTTGATTAGTGTCATCACACTTTTCCTCATCACAGATCACAGTTTGTGTCAGTGGTGTGATCATTTGTTTATTTTAGGATGAATAAAAGTGTATTCATAGAAGAAAATAATTTATCACTATATTAAATGCCACTGTGATTAAAGGAAAAATGTTGATTGAGAGGCTTTTATACAAACAGGAGGAAATTGATTCTATGAAAACAATTCAATTCCAGCAGTTTTACTTGGGATACTTATGTTTTATGATAACTGATAGTGGTTGTGGAAAATTAATAGATTTTTGGTGATCAATTTTGGTGATCATTTATCAAGGAAAGCATTTCAAGCATTTGGTGGTTACAGCTTCTCAAATATGAATGTTTGTTTCCCTTTATTTCACTCCAGTGTAAATCAGATACTTTTAAAATGAGAAAAAGTGATCGATTTCAAGATCTTGCATTACACTTTTGATTAATCAAAAAATTGTGAGGAGATGAATCCCTTTTGACAATTAATGATTTTGAAAATTAAGCAGTTGTTCATTAGTTCCAATCCTAATGCTGCTAAATCTGCAAGGGAATGGTTTCTCTGAGCAAGATGCTCAGTCACTGTGGCCTTGCTTGGTATAACCTGCTACCTTGAGAGAAATGAATAGATGCAGACATGAATGTGTTATAGTTACAGTCGGTAATGTGTAACCGTAACAAATTCCAGTCTTATCAGGACCAGTCAATGATTAGCAATGGTGGTGGTTGCTTAATCATAATGCGACATACAGGAAAGCAATGTTGCAATATGAGCATGATTTTTATGCTTTTATTACATCACAACCTGTCCTTTGCCCCACTTACTCTGTTTTCATTTACCAGTGTGTACAGGTGTGGTAGAGTAATACTTGACTGTATAATGTTCTGATTTAGGTTATGGTTCACAAGATCACAAGTATAAGACAAGAAGTGGGTTAGTCACTTGCAAAGCCAGTTTTCAACTGACATGTTCTCTGTTTACACACATCAAACATGGGCAAAGGTAGATAGGTCAGCTTTACCTGAAGTGCCAGTGTTTTAACTGTAGTAACAGCCAGGTGATAGTGGTATGCCTTGCCTATTAGTCAGCGTGGACATTGGCCTTAACCTTCTACTACCCTGCTTGGTTATTAGGGTCTACGACCTTAAGCCATAGGGGATGCTGTTATCACAAACCAACATATGCTTTATGTTGCTCTCAGAGGGCAAAGTCTCCAGCCAGAGCTGGTCACTCCAGTTGCTTGCTTCATTTTTAATACCAAACAGGAGATTTTGCATTGTTAGAGTATGTTACAAAAGACAATGTCCGCATGCATTGTTGATGACTAGTCTGTTATTTTTGTTATTGTTTTAAAAGTGGAAACAATTCTGATTTGTAATTGAAAATGACATAACAGTCTTGCAAATATGGAACCTTACAACGGCAGCCAGAAGTATCGGCTGCTTCAGATGTGTGGGCTCTCAATTTGATCGATGAGACACGGTGCTTGCTATCTCAGCAGACAGCCAAATCTCATCAGAGCCCAAACGTGTAAGCCAGACAATGCCATCCTCCATCCTATACGTAACTGACAGAAGAAGACATCCACTGTTGTGCACACTGGTGGGTTAAAATCTGCAAAAATGGGTCAACTCCTCCTCTGCATGAATGCCTACTGAAATATGCAGTGGAACCGAAATAAGACCTGGCAGCTCCCTGCCGTATTGGTCCCAAAAACCAGTTGAGTCATTTGGTGGGGCCTGCCAAGTCATAATATGAACCCATGACTCAGATAAGGCCTAAGTGAGGAGAACTGATCCCATGTAGAGCTGCCGTGACCCAGCTCCTGTTTTTTCTATCATACTGCTGCTGCAGGAGTCCTGCTCTGCCTGGAACCCTGGTGCTCCGCTGAAACAGACAGGGGGTGTTTGTATCAAAAAGCTGCCTGCAATTAGAACTAAATGTTTTTCACCAGATTGTTGTGAAGGTGAGATTTATATTGAAGCAAATTGTAAAAGCCTCTGAACAATTGCTCCTTCTAATGACATGTAAGTTATAGGTGGGGGAAGTGTTTGATGGAAAAATAACCACAACATATTTTGGAGATGACTGGAACGGGGTTGTTAAGTCTGGTTTATCACTAGCTTCTCTCGGTTTCATGATGGCAGTGATTCTTGCCAATGTAGTGCAGGTTATAAAACAGGATAGTCTAATGCCAGGATCAAGCTACACATACATGTTTTGGAAATGTTTTACTTTGGGAAAGATCGTCCTTTCTGTTTTTCTCAGTCTCTCTTCAGTGTGCCATAGTGGGAGACCCCAGTTATGGGTTCTCCTGTGGTAACCACCTGGGTTTGTTGTGTGACATGGGAACATTTCAGTAATGTATGCAGCAGTTGTTGGTTGCCTGCTGTTCACTTTTAAGGAGGTTTACTGTTTATATAATATACAATTCCCAAATAGATATTTAGACCAACTTCTAACTTTGGTTTACTATCATATGCTCAGCCTCTGCCAGTGACTATCAGTGTCACAAAATGTTCAATCAGTTCTCGTCAGCAGCGGGTGAAGTGTTTATTTTTTGCATTAGCCATATTTCAACAGCGCTTAAATTCTGCTCAGTTTCTCTCTTATTCATCAGCAGTTCTTTGCCCATGTGTCTGTTTTTCCTATGGTTGAGGAAAAAACACTTCCTTGAGCAGGTCATCAAAGATTTAGATTTGGCAGAGAAAGCCCGGACAGTGCTGTGTCCGGCACACCCCACAATTTTTTTTTCACCTAGTGTGACCCTTTTCCCTTCCATCAGACTCTGTTAATATCTTTAGATTGTTCTTACCATCCTTTTCCTCCTCTTATGTGGTGGCTTCCCTTATGAAGAGAAATGATTGATGCTTGTTAAGAAGATTCAGTCAGGTTAGGTTATGCTAGTTGTCCTTCTGTTCCTAATATAGTATACAACCTTCAAAGGCCCTGTGAGGCCCCGTCATCTCCCTCCTGATGTCGATGATAAATCGCAAGGTAGGAAACACTTTAATTTAACAGCTGTAAGTACACATCTCCATTTAGAGCTACATCCACTGGGCCTGTGTCCTGACTATGGACCCACTTAATCTTTAATTCCTCTTCTCATCAATATTTCACCGCAGACAGTTTCTCTATTGCAGTCTTTAGCAGGTAGGAGAAGTGTGTGGAAGGCATCCCAGAGAGACAGCCATCGGTTAGTAATGGGTAAAATATCTGTGTTTCAGGTATTCACAGCTTGCATCACAGTACATCTCTCTTTACTTTCCCTAAAGGCTAAGTTGCCCATGGTATCTTTGGTTGAGCAAAATACATGCTTTGATGTGGATATCAGTCTTGCAGGTTCCAGTGTTTTTTTTTTTGTTTTTTTTTTATGGTTTTCAGTGCAGTAAGGAGGAAAACTTAATTAATAACACATAGACATTTGTAAAGAAAATAACACAGAGTGCACAGAAGAATTTTATTTTGATCATCAGTAAAGAGGGCAGATTAAGCAATCCTTTCTATTTTTGTCTGTGATGGCTTGGCGTATGGTGGCAAACATCAAATGAATCTCAATCATGGCTGACACTTTGGATATGTAATGCTCCACAGGGAGTGTAAGTGATTGCTGCTCATCTCATCTTCTCTCTAATCGGATGTGCAGTCTGGATATACAGTACAACTGCACCATATGAACAGACCTGACTGGTAGTAAGATCACTGCTCATGTTGGCTGTTGGACTACTTTTCAGCCTCTGTAAGCTCTTATCACAGGTTTATTTCAAGGGGATATTTTATTCATGAACATCTTGGGGGAAGGCAGAACTTGGCATCAAGTTAATTAAGTCAGTTCCACACAAGACCTTTGGTACTGAGGCCAGCGTCTGGCCAAATTTGGCACAGTGTCACCCAAAAAATCCTAAATCTGAAAAGATGTGAGAACAACTTCCATCTGCACTAGCTTTTCAGGTCTTTTCAAGACACACTAAAATGCCAAAACAGTAGGAAAATTCCTAAATCTGTTCCCTTTTCACCTCTTTTTGTTGGCAAATAGCTAAATTATATATATCATCTAATCTTGTCTAATCATCTGGTAAAGAGAGTGACAAAATCATCCCAGTTTCTCTGCTTGGTGTCAGCAGTTAAAACCTTTGTGTTTCAACATTTGTTTGACATTCAAATTACTTTTTTTTTTTTTTTTGTCAGACTGAATAAAATTGACTTATCAACAAGAGTAGCAAAGTATATCAGTTATTGCTGTACTGCTACACTGAGTAGCAGATACCAATTTCATGCTTGCAAAAATCCTCTAACAACCTAAACAGAAATGTAGATTAATGTTGACACCTTTATTATGGGATAGGCTATATGGTATGCAAAATAAAATGATCAAAAAGAGGTTTAGAATTTACGGAAAATATTATTTTTTAACATAGCAGGAAATGATTGTGTCCAGGCAAGCATATTCCATCATTTGGAAAAGCTCTGTTTACACCATCCACACTAGCTCAGGTTATTGAGAAAGTTAAAAAATACCAGTTTAATGTAGATGGAATGCCAAAACAGAGAGGAAAAGATGTGTTTTCAAATTTAGAGGCTTAGTGTAGACATATCAAACTCATTTATTCCAAAGGGCTCACACTGTTTGTGTTGCAGTCGTACACAAATCTCCTTCATGTGCTGATGTGAGAACATGAGACACCTAGTAGCAGGTTTGTAGTCTGGATGTATTCAGCACCTGCTTTCATGTGTCCCTGAAGCAGAAGGAGACTCAGTAGGTGTTGATTCTCCCTCTAGCAGGCAGGATGTACCTGACAAGCTACGACCAGTGGGAGACAGAATAAACACAGGAGGGAGAATGGGGAGGAGTGTCTCACAATTCTCGCTGTTCTTTCAGTACACACACTCTGGCTCACTCATACATCATGCCATGTTGGGATACAATGCAATGGACAGAGATTATGTTTGCCTTTATTATAGTGTGATACAATGTAGGGTAATTACAATGTTAATGTGCACTTGGAATCAGCGAGTCTCCCAATGAGAACAGAAGTGATATCTGTAAAAGAAAATTCAAGTTGCATGTGGGAGGGATTGACTTGAATTTCTTGTGACTGTTCACTCACACTGATTATGATGAGTGATGCAGTGACCAGTAGTCATACCTTTCAAATGAGTAGTTAAAAATGAGCAGTGACATTTGGGAGATGAGAAAACAAGGTGGACATGTGGTGAAGGAGCACAGTGACATGTGCACACCTATAGCCAACAAAAGGATGAGCTTTTGTCAGAATTATCATGGCTGAGTCAAATCAAATCAAATCACATCTGGTATAAATGTGGTTTTGCTGCCTATAGTAGCACTAATCTGTGGTTCATACTTGAATATACTGGAATAAATTGGGCCTCCATAGGTGATGTATTTTGTTTGTTGAAGCAATCTCTGGAGCAAAAGATTTTGCACTAAATTGGAAATCACTTTCAGTGACATAGGAAGCTTTGGCTGCATAAATGTTGGCTGGCATCAGTGTAGTAGTGAGCGAGTAGCAGCTGAGCGGCGCAGTGGGCGTGTTGCAAGGCTGCTGTCAGCCCTGACACTGGAACTGCTGGGCCAGCAGCATCGTCACCGGCACAGACCCACACCTTCTGTTACCACTGCTGCATTATCAGCTGCTTATCAGCAAGTGGAAACCCCCACAACTGTCTCTCTGAATGGCTGATGAGGGATAGAGTTTAGGGTTTTTGGCCTGAAGGGTCACAATTATTGTTGTGTTGTGTTTTGCGGGAATTGTAAAAACAAAAAAAAAACTAAAAGTGCAGTTTTAACTCTCGATACAGTCAGAATTATTGTGTGTCTTGCTCAGTGTTGCAGCTCACCATTGCTTCCCTCTGTTGTGTAATGGAACAATAAGCTCAGGAGCACTGTGCAGGGTATTTTTGTTGTCAAGCTTGAATGTACCTTTGTTGTGGGTGGATTTAGAAAAAGATCCAGCACACCCAGCCAGAGTGTGCTGTATTACTGTCAAACACCATTATGTTTATGCTTGTAACTTAGCAGTGCTGTCAGGTACCTTCTCTTCTAAATAAAATTTAAAGCACAGCTATAAATGTGAATGATTTGGCATCGTTTCTGTCTGCTTTTCTTATTTCAGGTGGAAGCACAGGAGACCCTCTGTCTGTGTCTCTCTACTTGTCCCTGGTGGTGTCACTGACGGCGCTTGTGGCCTTGGTGGTGTTGCTTGTGAACTGTGTGACCTGCTGCAAGGAAAGGGAGATCAACTTCAAGGTAAGAGTCTCCGGAGACAGGTAGCTCCACCTGCTCCAATGCAGATTACACCTAATGAATACAGAGTGGGAATGGATTGTGATGGATGTCTATGAATTTAGGTTTTGCTGTGAAACATAAACACAATATTATCATGTTGTAGTATCATGGCTAGCCTGTTTTGATCTCCATAAAATCATATATATATATATTTATTTATTTCTTGTTGACGCAGGAGTTTGAGGACCACTTTGATGATGAGATCGACTTCACCCCGCCGGCAGAGGACACGCCATCTATGCAGTCCCCAGCCGAGGTGTACACCCTCGCTGTGTCCCCTGTGGCCCTGCCTGGACCCCCACACCTCCAACCTCCTGCCCGCATCACAGGTCAGACACATGCACACTCTCAAACAGATAAATACTGTGTTTCAAAACGCATTGTATACATTCATTCCTTCAAACATCTGCACGTGTACATATCAGCCACATAGTGTATACATCTACAAATGACATTGATAATGTTTACTGTGTAATGTTGTGTACTTTTAAATATACAACCTTTTTTGATATAATATTTTGGAAAGATATGTGAAGATTGGTGTGTTTTTCCTGATCATGTGCCTTTTATACTTTAATAGAGTTCTACCTGATAGTAGTCAAATCTCTGTAAAACACATTTTCAGAAAAATTGCACTGTAGTTTTCATTTTGGTTGATTTAAATAAATCGTTGGTTTGTATGGAGCTTTTTAAGATCAGCACAGTTGTGAGCCACAAATGTAACGATTCCAAAACTCCAGGTGAAACTTGTTTTGTGATTGGTTTCACAGAGGGATCCACAAACTTCCAAGTTGCACGTCATAATCTGAGTTATATCCAGGAGATCGGCAATGGCTGGTTTGGCCAGGTAAGATTTTTGTTTTCCTTTTTAATGCACAGGTTTTGCAGTGTCCCTTAAATTAAAATTGAAAATTTTAAGTTAATGTTTGGTTGAATAGGTTTATTCTATACAGCTTTTTAACCATAGAGAGCTCATCTGTATCACAGGCTGGTTTTATGCTCTGAATCTGTTATAACTCAAGCCTTATGTACATATTCTTCCCCCCTGTTTTTATTGCTTATTCTGCAGCACATCTTAAGATGGATAAGTAATTATACATGTTCTCCAAATAAATCCTCAACCTGTCCAGTGGAATACCCATCTTTCATTACTATTTTTCAATGTTTCTTTCTGCAGTTGCTGGCATCCCTTGACCTCTTTTTTAAAAAATTCACACAGACCTGGAGGAATAAATGTTGTATGGGCTTTTTGTCTGTATCTTGTTGAGTTGAAAGTGCCGTCATGTATTAACAGGTCCTTCTAAGTGAAATCTACACAGATCCAGGTGGAGCCAGAGTGGTGGTGAAAGAGTTAAAAGCTAATGCAAGTGCCAAGGAGCAGAATGACTTCCTGCAGCAGGGAGATCCATACAGGTATATACATTTTCTTTTCTTTTTGAACACCCCAGCCTTCTTGGCTGAGGACTCTTATTATTTTTCAGCAGTTTTTTATCACCTGCTCATTGTATAATTATTAAGTATTTTATTGATTCATGATAATATTTTATATTTACCTCAGTTACTCTTGTAGTGTGACATGCACTCAGTAAATGTAAACAAAAATAGCTTCTATTACATCACTGCAAAGTTAGCAGCACCCTCTATCTTTCTTCTTACACATTGCATCAGACTTAATCTCCTTGAAAGCCTTAAATTTATTATTTTAAAGCTCGGGTTTCATCTTATTTTGTCTTCACAGAGTGCTGCAGCATCCAAACATCCTCCAGTGCCTCGGACAGTGTGTCGAGGCCATTCCCTTCCTGCTCATCTTTGAGTATTGTGAAATGGTGAGTGACCACATCCTCTGCTAAATGCTATATGTGAGCACAAAATACACCAGCAGCCAGCTGTTAATGCACAAAAAGTTGTTGAGTGTGTATGAGTTAAAAATAGTTCAATAATATCTATAATTAATCACATTATGTTAATGGGAATGTAATTGATAGGCTAAAACACATCTGCTATGTGTAATATCTAGTGTATCTAGTGTCCAATGATGCATAGATGGTTTATTTACTAGTTTCTATTTCAGCACTTCCTCAATTAGAAGACTTAATTGATAGAGAAATCTGAGAATTAGTTCTTGTCACTCTGTTAAGCTCACGGATTCATAGGGCAGGACCTCTTCAAACACTGTCCAGCTAGAATACATAGCTGACCTGCCCTATTGGCTATCTGGTCTGAAAGCTTACTGCCTCAATCCGAAATTAGCCTTCCTTTCATCTAAACATATTGAAGTGACTCAGACTTCATCATAGCAGCTGATTTATTCACTGTTTCTCTTTATCTATTCTGGGTGGGCTGGGCCCTGACTGCAGGGAGCCCCACTTCCCTCCCCCCCATCCCTGCTCCCCTCCTCCTGCCGAAGTCGCATAGCTAGTCTAAGCCTGGACTTCTCACATTCCCACCTCGCCCAGTAAAGCAACAGGCTCCATTTACGCTCCTCTGGTGTCAGCTCCCACCAGTTGCTGTGTTTGTGCATTTTTATGGGTAGCACCTTGTGTATGTTGGAGACTGTTGAGTTCAGTCTAAAGTAAACTAAGCTACTCCCAAAGAAACCTATTGGGTGCTGAATGCAAGGTAAAGAATGCAAGGAGCCAAAAATGTTACCGAAGAATATACACCACCCCAGGGTCTACTTGATTTATCTTAATAGGATAAATTTTTACGATCAGAAATACAGCACTCGTAGTTGTGTAATCTTAGCTTTTTGTGTCATGGGCTCTAAATAATTTGTTTATTTATAAAGTAACCAGGAAAATAGAAAACACTGCACATTAACTCACTTTTGCATTACCTTGAAATAATGATGGTAGCTTACATTCTTCAGGTTTTTCTGTTTTTCTTTCCACTCAGTGTCATGTGTACTTTTTTCCAAAGTTTACTGCCTTGTTTTCCTCTTCTTACGTTTTTCTTATCTGTTTCCGCATGCCACCTGTTGGAGTCTGTTATGATTGTTATTGGTTGACTGACTGTAAGGGGTGTGTGCATCATTAAACACACTTATCATATGTACTCTTCAACTGAAATTGCTTAAGTTTTAATTTATTCATGCAGATCTGTAGTTAGAAAGTAACAAAAACAAAAACAAACAGAAAAAGAACCAGAGCCTCTAACTAGTATTACAAACACAGAAATAACCACGTAGTTTGTTTTCATCTATACCTGACTCTACCGTTGAATCGGATGACCCAGCTATAAATTATCTTGTGTGTGTGTGTCTGGGTGCAGAGAACGGGCACTAGTCCACCCACTAACTGCTTGATGCCAGGATACAGGATGCCCTTTATCATGGTAACCACGAATGAGTTGGCACAACCTGAGCCATAAAGTTAGACTTCACAGTTGTTTAGAGGGAATCATCACATTCATCTGGTGGCTTTAAATCTGCAGCCTGTATAATGTATTAGTTGCACATGTGCAAATATGCACACATGCACATTTTGATTTGTGCTCCTTGGATGTTGAGGCATATTTAATATTTTTATTTGCAGGAAAAAGGAAATGCATTTCTGCTGTTAAGGTGACACAAAAAAAAATTTGTTGTAACTCCGCCTCCACCTTGGCTCCCCATTTGTCCAACCCGGTAACGCGTCCAGCAGGATCCAATTCAGCTCATCTTGCCAGACATTACATATATTTGTTGGGCCAGAGTATTGTCAGCTGCCCAAGCCTGGCTCGGTGTCCTGGCATTGTGGTCTTTCCCAGCCAGCTCCAGTAACATCTCTTGACAGGAGATGGAATTGAGTCAAGGTGAATGACTTATCACAAGTGCGTGTGAGTCGTTATGGAAGATGACGTGATGAAGAGCAGGTCCTGTTTGTTGAAGGTGATAATGTGTGAGGGTAGCACAACTGAGTGATGTCTTGGCTTGTTATCCCTCGCTGGAAAAAGAGTTTGGAGCTCTGCATCCGAGTGGAACCTTGTCTTTTTCACAATACGCTCTTTATTTCTTTCATATGTACAAGTCCCAGTTGCAAGGACTACACTCAAAACATCAAAATAAAATGTAGTTCATGTAGAAACAAGTGGCATGTCAATCATCCTCTCGATGTCGAAACATGAAATGTGACACCGCAGCTGCGCAGTGGACAAGGTGAATCCCAAAAAACCAATCGACTGTGACGTTCCCTCAGACAGCCTGGTGATTGATGGTGGTTTTTCCGTCCTGTATCACCCGTGCTGGGTAACCCTGACTCAAAGCATTTTAGACATCAGAATACATCAAGCAACTGGTGCAGGGGCCACATAATGTCACATACCATAGTGTGAGTGACAGCTTCTAATGCATGGATCTCCTGCCTGGTGCCTGGCCAAGACGTTAGTCAGACCCTTCTCTGGTTCAGGGTCTCGGATACAAGCCAACTGACTTTTGGCTTTTGGAAGTCGTTGATCTTAATTTATTATGGTTGTTATGGCAACAATCCTCCCAGTGTGATTGAGGTGCTCTTTATGTTATTGGCATTCATGAAGTTATACATTACTGACCATGCTTTGCCCTTAAGTGTACTGAGCATTATAATTCACCCTGTGGGAAAAGTTGCCCTTATGTAGTTGGTGTCCTTTTTGTCTTCTTTAGGCTAATTAGCCTTTTCAGAACTTGCTCCAGTGATGCTAATTCACTGTTAAAATCAGTGCTGATTGAACAGCGACAGCTGGTTGGTTACACTCTTGTCCTTGGTGACTTTGAAAAGTTTTTGCATAATAATGTTGTATCTTATGAGTGATTTACCTTGGATTTCACAGGTCTTTGAGTGGCCCACCTGCTCTGTTTAACTTACAAGTAAATAATCAGAATATAATCGGATTCTTCCACTAGCAGCTTGAAGGACAAGCTCTTAAAATAGATTGAAAACTTTTTTTTTTCTTTTTTTTTTTTTTTACATAACTCGATCATGTGGTGGCTGAGCCAGACATGAATCTATGCACTGGGAACTTGGCACATTCTTGCTTATTCACATGTCAGACACAAGGCTTAATTGTTTTGGCCTTTCACCATTAATGTTGTTTCATTAACAGCACTGGAACCCCCCAACCCCCCCAAACAGCAAATCAGCTGCTGCGGAGCCTTCACAAATAAAGACAGGCAGAGGGTATCACTTACCATACATTGAATATAGCTCTTCTGTGAAAACTCCTTCTAAGAGCTGTGTATGTGTGTGTGCTTGTCTGTGTGAGGGTGTATGTACAGTATGTGTGTGTATGCGGGGTTGTATGTGGTTGAAGCAAACAAATAGTGCTTACATAAGATGAATGATCTAAGCTGCTTGTAGTGAGATAGCTCAGGGAAAAGTAAACACACAAACACAAACTTGCACGTGCAGTTAGTGCATGTGACTTGACATTTTTCACAAAAGCGCCTCATATCCTATATGACTCCAGTGTGTGTACAGTATGTTCTTAGCGGCTAATTCCTCAGGGCAGCTCCGTTCTGCCGGCTAATCGGGGCTCTTCTTTGCTTCGACTCCGTGGTGAACATGATCTCAAAAGCACACATAACTCAAATGCACACACACACTTAGGAAGATTTAAATAAGCTGCTCAATAAAACGCCCACTCTCTCAAGTTGGAGCTTTGACTTTGTTTGTACATATTATAGTGGAATATCAGAAAGGCTCAAAGTACAGTACACTGCATTAACAGTCTCTCAACCATTGTATATATTGATGAATGATAACCACAGGTGTCCACAGAAATTCCTACTCAGCCCTGGGTTGTGAACCTGCGCACAGCTGAGACCCTCGGTGGTCTTCGTGACCCTGGACTCAGTCAAGCTATAAAGACTACTGTGATCTTATTAGAGATATACCTCTATTTCCAGATTGACTTTCTTATATCAACTTCTCACAGCTCTCGGATCACACACTGGTGAGCTGACATGCGACATTCTAACATGAGACTGAATTTCACTTTCTAACCGTGTGTGTGTGTGTGCGCGGGTGTGTACGTTTGAGCATTAATTACATCCCAAGACAATAAACAAAGTTCCTCGTCCTGCTTCCCCTGGTCTTCTCTCCCATCCACTCATGAGCTCCGAAACTCAAGTGTACACAGGCACAGTTTATTTCACTGACCTGAGCTGGACTCTTTTATTTATAAATCCCTGAGACACAGCATAGAGGTCCATTAAGCAGCGGTACCCTTATTTGGTCCTCTCACACATCAGCAGTGAGAAGTGCTGAGGAGACGGGAACAGGAGAGCCTACTGCCCCCGTGTGGCCGTATCTGCGCAATGCATTCAGATGAGACCACTTGTTAAATTGCCCCTTACAAGCTATAATACAAATAAGGTTGAATGTTTTATCTGTGATACTGATGAGCTAATGAAGCTGTGCGTGTTTGTCTTCGTGTGTGTTTGCAGGGGGATTTGCGGGGCTATCTGTCTCAGCAGGATTGGATGTTCAGAAATGCTGAGTTGCTGCAGCTGCAGAGGATGGCCTGTGAAATTGCTGCCGGTGTCACTCACCTTCACAAACACAACTTCCTGCACAGGTAGCACTTCAGAATTGCAACACTTAAGCAAACAACCAGATTTGTGACACGCTAAGCATTGTCTTTTTTTGTACCACTTTTTCTTTCAAAGAATTCAGCTGCTGTTTGTGTCTAGCTATGACTGACATTGCTGCAAAGACATTACATATATTACTTAATCACAGATCTTTTACGTTTGTCACTGAGCTATTGTTTTATGCTTTTGTACCCAAGTTTAATTTACTGAATTGTTACAAAGATATCTTACACATGTAGCTGTTTTTTGTTTATTGCTGCCCTAAGTGTTTGGATCATTGTTTATGGTCTTTGATAGATATGTAATGTCTTCTTGTCAGTGACAACAGTCATAAAGCTCATGAGATATGATTGTAAAGACTTAGGTCAACTCTTAGTTTTGCTTTAGTGCTTACTCTCCAACCAGTTTCAGGAGTACCAGTGTTTTCCAAAAAAGGTGTGTATAGCAGGGAGGCTCTGTTTCATTTTCATTTTTACCCCAGCGAGTACTGGATGTCTGGCTACTAGCAGCCAGCAGGGTACAGGGGGTGTTGGAAACGTGTGGCTTGGGGGTAACATACGATGCGCAGCTCATCAGCTCTATTTTGCATGCTCAGAATAAGCTCAGTGGGTTCCAATTACACAGCTCCCATGCATTGCCACAGTGTCAGCTGTCCACTTCCAGAGGGATATGATGATTCTGCGCTTTGCTTGTAAGAGGATAGCCTCATATTGGGCGTTGTGTTTTAATCCTTGTTACAACTCAAAGGAAGGAAGGAAGGAATTTAAATCAATATATAGTTTAAAATATATATGGGTTTAAATTTAATAATTTACAATTGTAAAAATATTTCTGTGACTTTTTTAACCACAAAAAATTAAAAAAGGTTACACAAAATGAGTGCAGCCACATGCTGGCAGACCTGAATGAGAAGCTGTTGGTGCTGCAGCACCACAGTCACACAACCCTTGAGGCAAGTGCTGTGTGGGCTGATATCCAAAGCTGAAACTACAGCTTTGCAATGCAAGGTTGAGAATGGGGCTGCAGAAGAGCAAAACACATGCTGCACTGTGTGTCATGAAAGAATACTCTCATTCAGAAACTGAGGAGGCATGGATCAGTGACAGCTTTCCATATAGCACTGCCAAGTTTTCTTGAGATTTAATGTGTTATGATAAGTAATAAATAAGTTTGGGTTGTTATTTTCTATTCCAGTTTAGATTTTACATCAATATGAGTTGTGTTTCTCATTATTTACTTATAAATGTCTCGGTCTACCATCCATCCATACCAACTCATAAGCTTATATTATATTTATGTAGAGAAATTATATTTCTGAAACACAGTTATAATGATAATTCACATCTTTAAGTTTTTGCTGAAATTGAGAATCCTCATTATTCCAGCACTTATTCAGAGCATAACAGAATTTCAGGTGATGTTATAGTTTGTTTTGCCTTTTCCCGATCTGGTGACTGGAGGAAAATTTATGTCAGTCTGTACTCGTGCATATCCTTGATCTTTAAATAGACCATTTAGCATCATTATCCTGCTGACAAATGAAATCCTCCAGAAATGTTGGCAAGATACTACTCTCTAGTCAATATACACTTATTATGGCACAGCTAACCAAACCTAAAATCATCATATTCCCACATCTTGACTATTTGCATTACTGTGTTTGACAGGAGGTTTTATTCACTTTTGCGCTTATGAATTCACAACTCTTACTCTATTTCAGTGTTTAAGAGAAGAGTTTGTGTTTGACCTGTGCCAGATGTGTAGACTTGCTCTTTCACTGAAGAAGTAATTTTCCTCTGAGATCTCTGTCTGTTAATTGTTCTTTGACTGTTCTTTTAAATAGTGGAGTTTGTTGTCGATCAACTAATTCATTAACTGACCAGTTTGTCTCTACTCCAGAATATATACTCAAACACACATATATAGGAGCTTATATGTTGATATTTTGTTACTATATTACATAATTAAATAGTTATATTAAAAATAATATATATCATTATTGATATTAATTCATAATTACATTATAAGGAAATATTTGGAGGAGATACAGGATGCAAAAGTTCTACCAAATGGTTTGCAGAGATGTTTTTCAATTTCCAACTGGCATTCTTGTGATGGTGATTATTAACAATTGTTGGTAGTGACCTTTAATGTTTTTAACCACAGTGTCATTCAGAACCTAAACTGAGCACAGTGAAAATTCATTTAACGGTTTAAGTAAAGTTATACCACACTTCACACGTCTAATGGCATGGGAGCAATCACTGCCATGCCACATATGAGCCTTGTAGGGTTAACATGTTGGACCCGTTTCTCTGTTACTGTGTTACTGTATGTCGGGCTCTCAGCCAACAGCAGAGGACAGGGCGACAGGACAGTTTAAAATAAATCTCCATTTATCTTACAGAGGTTTCAGCGGCTCTGACAGTAGCTGGGACATGTGCCTGCGAGAACACTGGTGTCAGCAGTGTTTGTCGTTAGGCGAGTAAAAGGGACTTGGAACCTGTGCACAGGGAATGCCGGAGGGCTACAGAGAAACCAAAGCCTGTTTCTTCATTCAGTGTGAATGAACTACCATATGTCTGCTTAATTTGCAGGGACAGCCTCATAGCTTCTTACGCCCTCTCCTGGGTGGCACACAAAAGGGTTACATAGCATGTGTTTCCCTCTAGAACCTATTCTGCTGCTGTATGCATGAGTCAGGAATAGCCCCTGTGTGAGTCCTGTTGCAAGGTGAAGAGCAGAGGCAGAAGCCAGTCTGCTAATTTCCTGTAGTAATCAAAGTCATTTATGACCCTTGCCAGTTTCCCCTGTCCTCAATTCTTGCTCTGTAATCTTAGCCTTTGAGATTAAGAGCATATGGTGGATTCCTTTTTGATGTTGATAATATTCATTTTGTATTCACTTAACACTGGTATTTGCAGTAACTTCTCTTTGCAGGCACAGGCACAAGCATGAGCTGAATGTTTTTGATACAAGTGATGATCCTAAACTTGCCCGTAAGCGACATAATTGGTAAATATGAGCGTGGAAAGTGTCTAATCCACTCCTACATGTCATGTTTTTCTCCATGCTCTCATAGTGATTTGGCTCTGAGGAACTGCTACCTGACTGCAGATCTTACTGTCAAAGTGGGAGACTATGGAATTGGACCCTACAGATACAAAGTAAGCAGTAACCCTGTTCAGTTTCAGATGCTTTTTGCATAGAGATTGATTCATTCCATTATTGTTTTATGGCTCTGCATATTCTTGTGTCAACACCAGCACCTGTGCATACAGAGACGCATTAGACTGGTCTGTTGACTTAGGCCAGTTTTAGTTTTGCATACTTGCATCAGAATTTGTGGAGGAGATTCAGATTATTAGCAGTGATCCCACAAGTCTTACATTGTCTTTTTTATTTTTTTTTTTGTGGTGATTTAAATAAAGTGAAAACCCTTGCATAAAAAAAGTAGCTGCTTAAAATCAGATTTCTGACACATTGCCTCACTCTGTGGGCATTAGAAACTGGGATACATCAAATAAATGCTTGAAATGCCTTCTCCCTCTGAGGTTCACAGCGCCATCTAGAGTCTCTGTGAGGAGCAAGATAGAAATGTACACTGCCATACGAGGATGTGTGGGAGAGACTGTGAATCCCTGATGGAGTGATGTTTGTTTGTTTTTTGATTAATTTATTATCCTTTTTCCTGATTGGGAAACCACTGATGAAGTAATTTATGATGAAAATTAATGACTAATTTTAAGCCACAGTCCCCCATACTTTCTTTGAACAAAAATTCATCGTAATAGTGAGAATAATCAACTAAACGTGACGAGAATGACATACTCACAGTAAGTGGTTTGCAAAAAACAATGAAAAGGGAAAAGTTTATAGTTTTTAAAATGTGAATGAAATAAACAAAGTTTAGCAGTTTGAATCTGATACCCCCATTTTTTTTGCAAAAGCCCAAAAATAATGTTCCCAAAATAAAAAGGCTACTGTTCTTCAAACCTTTTGATTGCTTTCATAACCCTGCTCTCCTTTTAAAGATAACTCTTTAAAGTACAAGAGATACTGAAACAAAGTTACAGAGACATGTACATGCAGAAATATAAGGTTTGTTTTTCACAGTGTGTATCTTTTTTGGGATTAAAAAAGGAATGTAAGGCCTGTATTGTAGAAAGCACTTTGGAGCCATAGCTACAAGTCTGAACCAGGTCTGTGTCAGGATACTCAGGATGCTTTCAAACAGTGTGTGTAGATTGAGTCTGGTGCAGACTGTAACATGATTAAAGTAGCACTACCAGGGCCAAATCGTCCCACGGGTGGGTGTATTTTAAAAGATTAAGTAGAACTTAAATTTACAAAATGATTCCTCCTAAGATAGCTGAGAAGTACTCCACTTAATGCAGCTTATGAATTTAAGATGCATGTCTTAAGTCTGGCCATTTGTTACCTCCAGATGATCTGACAGAAAATAAATCAACATTCATCATAGGCCGTGCAGATGTTTGCCTTTGATCGATTGCATATTTCACGGAAGTATTCCCATCGTCTCCTCTTGTAACTTGACACGCTGCATATGTCTTCAGGCAGTTTTGTCTGCTGCATTCCTTAAATACTGCTGATCTGACAGTTTGGCTGTCTGAATTTAATACTCATAAGATAAGGTCACCCAGTGAATCTATTTCTGTAGAAGAAAGGGAGAGGCAGAGTGAGAGTGCAGTGCCTCATTGAGAGGTAATACACCACTAAATTTCTCCTGTTTGTACAAACGTCACCTCATTTAATGTACTCAGTTATTTTCACTGTCTCCTAGAAAACTACGCTGTTTGTAAAAGTAAAACACTTTGACTGAAGTTTTTTTATTTTACAATGTTACTATAGGAGGATTACATCATCACAGAGGATGACGTGTTTGCTCCCCTTCGCTGGTTGGCTCCTGAGCTGGTGGGTGAGCGCCATGGGGGTGTGATTACTATGGAGCAGACCAAGCCCAGCAATGTGTGGTAAGTTCATGACTGCAGCTCTACAGTTAAACTAAAACTAACTAATTAAACTGACAGTAGAAAACATTTTTAGAAATCCATACCTCCATAATGATCCAGATATGTTTTAAGATGACACTCCTGAGAGAGAGAGAGAGAGAGAGAGAGAAGTAAAAATTTTGAGGTTAACATCCATATTTTAAGTTTTCAAATCTATTGAGTTATAATGGCTTATTGAATATTGTTAGGTATAATAGATGTTGCGGCTATAGTCATGTCATATAATCAGAATTTACATGTGAGTTGCTCTGTAGTACACATCTTGCTCATTGCTGAGAAAACAAGTCATTTCTGCTCATACCAGAGTTTGTAAATCACAATCAGGCTAATGTCCAAAAGAGTGGAAAAAGACACTGACACTGCACCACCTAAGCATCTCTCCACATTTTACAGTCTTCTCAGCCCCTCCCTGACTTCAAGACTCATTGCCCAAATGCTATCCGGTCATAAATTACACAATTTACATAAGGTAGTTCTAGTTACAAAAGCCAGATTTGCCGCTGAATAAAAATATGTTGATCTTCACAATGTTTCTCATATGAAGAGCAACTTATTAGTGAGTGTTTAAATTAGACACCTGCTACTCATGTAGTTTATTTAAAATCACTGTTTTCTTGGTCTTGGATACTCGTAACAACTCACCTCTTGTCCTGCAGTAAATTACAAACAGCTATTTTGTCCTTACTTGTCTGTAGGTCCTTGGGGGTGACATTGTGGGAGCTCTTCGAGAATGCTGCTCAGCCGTACCCACATCTGTCTGACCGTGAGGTTCTCAATCATGTGATCAAGGAACAACAAGTCAAACTCTTTAAGCCACAGCTTGACCTGCCTTATTCGGACAGATGGTGCGTCTTTGGAATATGTGCATTAGAACAAATCATATAAAAAAAAATAGTACTGTATGAATGAGACACATATAAGTAGTTTAGCTCAAATTGGGTTTTAAATTATTTAGCCATTAAAAATATATCTTGTCTTAAGAAAAAGATGTCTGTTTTGCGTGTAACTGCAGGTATGAGGTCCTCCAGTTCTGCTGGCTGTGCCCAGACAAGCGGGCTACAGCAGAGGAAGTGCACCGTTTGCTTATCTACCTGCGCATGCAAGGCCAGAAGGACATCGAAGAAGATTTTGAGCAGCGCTGGGATGCTCTCAAGCCTAACCCCTCCACACGGCAGACCACTGTTAGTCACTCCTCTTTCCCTATCCTGGAACAGTTTGCTGATGATGCCCTGCGACAAGAGATCGATGAAGTTCTTACTGTCACTGAGACTAGCAAAGGTCTCAGCTTTGAGTATGTATGGGAGGCAGCTAAGCACGACCACTATGATGGAAACCATGGCCGCTCAAGCATGGACACAACGTTGAACTACCACAGCATGTTCTTTCCTGTTTCCAGCGCAGACATCCAGGCACATTTCCCTGATCCTGCAGCCAGAGCAGCGGGCACAGAAAGTGTTAACACTCCATCGGGAATACCTGGGATTGTACCAGTGTTTGATGCACAAAAGCCATCTAATGGAAATGAATTTTACATACAACTAGAAGAGCAAGGGGAAAGCACTGTTGGGGAAGAAGGGAATAGAGGACAAGACATGGACTTTAGTTCAGGCCGGCAAGACTTTGTTGTTCTCCAAGATGTCCGTCTGGATGAGTCTAGCACAGATGCTGACTTTTTCCACCAAAGCATTGACTCCAAGGATTCCTATTTACCCGACAGTCACATCTGGTCATCTCTTGAAAATGACAGCCCATACCACACCAACATTTTCACAGACGGAGGGTCCAAGCAAGAGGACTCCCCTTCCTGGAGGCAGAGTTTCATGGAGCTTCCAGAGCGCAATGGAAACCCTTTCCATGAAGGGACACCTCTAGAGCACCAGGAGTCAGATGAAGATAAACGCTATGGGGATTCTTTTTTAGGGGATTGTTCAGAAGCCACTCCACACCTGGTGGATCTTGTGAAAGTGGAGGGGGAGAACACAGATGTGAAGAGGCTTCTGAACACTGAAAAGCTAGCTGACAACTTTATGTTTCTCAAAGACCAGAACCTGATGAAAGATGGATCTCTTTTCTCCACAAGTCCACAGCAGAATTTTCTTTCACCTGGCATAGCCCACGAACCAGAAGAAGCATTCAGAATGAGGTCTTGGGACAACCTTGAGACTTTAGGCAGCTTAAACACAGCAGACACTTATTCCAAACCTGCAGCAAGTAGCACATCCTCAAGACAGGAACTTTTGGACTCTCCAAGTACCAGCTTGGGGGAGTTAAGTCAGTCTCTGGTAGAAAATGTAACACTGGTGCCTTCCATTACAGTGGTCACAGAAGATGACACAAGTAACCAGCTGCCAGTTAGAAACAGTTCTTCCACCGAAGACCTTGGTCTGCTGCAATCCTCAGACAGAGGTATAGACTCTGGTTTTGATTCTACCTCAGAGAGGTTTGAGGTTATCGTTAGTCAAACTGATGGCCACACCCCTGAATTCTCTGAAAGTGCCACCTCAGACTCATTGTGCACAGATGCCAAAATTCCCAGCCTTGAAGACTACCTTGGAACCTCAGAGGATAGTGCTCAGCTCGTAGAAAGTAAAATGCCTGAAAACCTGCAAGTCCAAGCCGTGTCCTCAGACAACGGGCACAGTGAAGACCTAACAAGCAACGATTTGTTGAGTGAACTCATTGAGGATGCAGATATAGAACTGGAAACCACTCTGTCTGACCACGAAGAGTCCTTTATCGATACTAATGGAAAACCTCTTGTGAGATCTTCTCTGTTGGTCTCTGGGCCGTCTTTGGACCAGATCAGCCAGGACAGCTTACTGGAAGACAGTATGTCCACCACTCTACCAACTGTAGACAATTCAGCTGAGACACCAGACTCTCTAGACTCCCTTGATATCCACAGGCTTGGGGAACAGGCAGAAGAGCTGAACGGTCAAATAGTTCAACACAAACTCCAGCCTCCATACAAAATATCAGACAGTGGGTATGAGACAGAGAACCTAGAGTCTCCTGAGTGGAATTTTCAGCCTAACGTTAAAGACCACTCCCCTGTAAAAAATGGCACGAGTGTTGCCAAAGGAGAGGTGGAGACAGAAGAGTCCACAGCTCCAACAAATCTGGTTCCACCGGAGATCATCATTTCTGAAGCAGAGGGTGTGCTGGATACTCACAATGAGGATCCCAGTGAGGTCCAGGAGCCGGATCCCGCAGCTCCTGCTGAGGAATCGCTCATGGGCAGTAATTACAGAGACTCTGCCTACTTCTCAGACAATGAATCAGAACCTGAGAAGAAGTCTGAAGAAGCAGCTGGAGGTCCTGCTGAAGTCACGTGGCTGAGGAACTCGACCGATGAGGTCAGCGGGCCCCCTGGGGGTCCGGCGCTGGAGGTTAACGAGCAGGGAGATGTAGATTCCTTATTTCCTCAGCAAAAGTCTTCTGTAGCTGCTGAAGGACAGGCGGAGGTCGGAGAAACACCTGATACTGATAATGGGGGCATGTTACTGAAGGCAGATTCAGATATCACAGAGAAATGTGAGAGAGAGGCGACTAACAGCCCCGATGAAGATGGAAACAAATCAACGTTTTTCAAGGATGTAACATCTACCCATCAGCCAGACCTTTCAGAGGATCCAGAAACCTCAACTCCACTTCCTTCTGCCACCACATTAAAGCCGGCGCCAGAGAGCGCAGTTCACGCTAAACTAACCAGAACCTATGCCAGTGATGGTCATAAAATAAAAGAGCCGGACATGGAGGGGCGTTACCTGGGGAGGCGGGACGGCTCGGGTTTAGATGTGCAGGAGGACGGCGTGGATGCTGACGAGGAGGACGAGAACAGCGATGATTCTGATGACGACATTCGTGCATATCAGCTACACAGCTCCAGCTCAGAAAGCGAGGATGATACCGTGCATACAGTGCCGCTTATTATCTCAGATGACAGTAGTGCAAAGAACCTTAAGAGCTTGTTGAAACCCACCACCTTGAACATCGAGGCATCGTCCTCCCCATTTGCCGCGAGGTGCAATGCAGATAACTCCAGGAGAGCTGTGTCCTTCTTCGATGATGTCACTGTCTACCTGTTCGACCAGGTGAAGTATTGTCTATCTAGGCTTAGGGTTAGAGTTTTGTAAGATATGTTTGTGGGGCCATTCTAATTAAAATTTGATGCATCATGATTCAGGAGACTCCCACCAAGGAACTGGGTGATCACTCTTCAGGCTCAAACAGTCGGGTACCAGAGTTCAGCAGCCCAGTGCCCACTGCCAGCTACCTGAACCGGTTCGCCAACTCTGAAAGCTCCACAGATGAAGAAGGTAACAGAAAAACCTACCAAATGTATGCAGCTGCTGAGAAATTGTCCCATTATGTGTTGTGACTCGTTTTCTGAATCCCTACAGGTGGTGGTTTTGAGTGGGATGACGACTTCTCCTCCCCTGCGCCCGCTTTCCTACCTAAGAACGATAAAGACCCAATATCTAAGGCTATGTCCTCATCTGCAGCATCTCGCTTTTCCTCTCCGCCCCCTGCAGCAGGGCGCGTGCTGGAGCCCAGCTGGTCCAGCTCCTCAAACTACTCCCGTTTTTCCATCTCACCCGCCAGCATCGCTAGCTTCTCCCTGACACATCTTACTGACTCCGACATTGAACAAGGAGGCAAGTTTAGCATGGCATTTGATCACACCAAATCTGTGCAGGCTTAAAGGAATACTTTGACATCTTTGGGACATGTCTTTGAACACTTTCTTGGAATTAGATGAGAATATCAGCACCATCCTCATGTGTGCAAGATAAATATGAAGCTACAGCCAGCAGCCTGTTAGCTTATCTTAGCATAAGCTGAAGTCTCTGCTGGCTGCCTGAGAATCTAACAATAACATGATAGAGATATAACATGTTAATTAGTAAGCTTTAGAGGTGGTGGTAGGTAGATTTTGTTTCTCATCTTTGGACAGAACTAGTCTGTGTGCTAAACCAAGCTAACCAAGTAACCAACCAAATTCTCTAACCAGAAAGTGTTGTTCCTAAAATGACAAACTAGCCCTTTAAAAATGGTTCACTTTCATTGCAGTCTTCATCTCATACATTTTTCTCATCAGATTTTACATGTACCATGTTCATTAGGTCAATGATATGAAATAGTCAAATTTGAGTAATATCCGTCAGTTGAACACGTTTAAACTCTCTTATTCTCTTATCCTCTTTTCTTCACCTCAGGAAGCAGTGAGGACGGCGAAAAAGACTAGTGTGATAAATGAAAGGACCTTTGATCATCACACTATTGAGAAATGAACGTATACTCGCACTTTTTTTGGGAATGGAGAACGGCTGAATAAGGACAAATGACACGGCTTGTGGGTTCAAACCGTGGATGCTTCTCTCAGGCAGAACTGTTCTTCATGGATGTTGGCCATGAGAACAAAGGCTGTAAACTGACTTTCAGCAAATAAGACAGACAAGGCCCAGTCCCAGTCTGAGCCACATCACCTCTCCAGCTACATCAGTGTGTGTGATTTCAGTTCAGTGCAATTCCACTTTGGAAAAAAAACAAAACAAAAGAAAACGACTAAAAACGGGCCTAGCTTCTAAATGTTTGCTTTAAAGACTCATCAAGCGCATTCCAAGTGTTTGGCTGCTTCTTTTTGTTGTGTGTCTAAGTGCACTCCTTCTCCAGGACTTTTGCATCACCAAAAAAAAAAAAAGAAAAAAAAAAAGACTTTTTATGTTCTGAATTGATGGACACACTGGGCTGGCAAACTTACCACTACAGCCAAATAGGAATAAGCTCTTTGATTTCAGCAGACCTAAAACTGAAGATCCAAGCTTTTTCTGTAACATAGTTGATTTTGCTCCTTCATGTTGTGCGATTATTTCAGTGGTTGCCTTTTTTGGAAGAGGGATTTGTTTTTCGTAACCTTTCATTGGGTGTAGTCACAATCTCCTAACGGGAGAGAAACAATGTGTGGTATCCTTCTGTAGCAGCATTTGAAAAAGAAGGGTTGAAATTTAGGAAGCACCATCCATGCATAGAATGATTGGATAACTAAATCCCTCATCTACAGAGGTGACACACTGTATGCTCCTTTATTTATGTTTGAGAGGAGCGTTTACAGTAAGTAGTTTCATATTTTTTGAGACATCTCAGTAAGAATTGTGGGTATTATTAGACGAGGATTGTCAGATTAATCCTTAAAGCAGGGATTAAATGAAAGACAATTTTGAGGAAAAGCTTAAACAAGTTATTTATGTTGTAACGCTTAATTTTAATGCTCTGAGAAGTGCAGCGAGTCGCTTGGATGGATTTCGTCTCCACAGCTCGTCACTCGGTCTCATCACAGTGCCTGTTGACACTGTAAAGACAGCTGCACTCCTCAATTTGCTATCACTACAAAATTTCAAATCACGTAAAGTGAGATTGTGTAAAAAAAAGTGGGAGATTTTATTTTTAACTGTCAGAATGAAGAAATGTATCAAGCTGTTTGTAAACAAATGTGCAATGAATTTCATGAATTGGTTGAAATTCGTGTCACAGTTCATAGGATGACCCGGTGAACGTGGCGGCGTTTCTTCAGTAATGTGCAGGGACTTAAAGCTTCATTAAGAAAAAGAAATCACTACTAGAACAAAAAACACTGCTGCTTTATCAACTTCAGTGTCATGAACAGAGTTGTCTGCCTTTGTTGTTTTGTTTTTTTTTTTGTTTTGTGTCAAACTTAATTAATCTGCTCAGATGGCATTTTCCTCCTAAAGGAACTCTTTGTCCAGTTGAAATTTTTGAGCGTTTCATCGTTGTATCTTATCATTTGCAGGGCATCCATTGTTTCTGTGGCTGTACAGGGTTGGTTGGGGATCTGTGTGTCATGATCAGTTTCTGTATAGGAGCGAATAATGCAAATGGTTATGGATCAAGATATGCTTCCCCTCCCCAAGGTTTCCATGTACAGCTATAAAATCAGTTATATGAAACTGTAGCTTATACAGTTACTATATGGTTCTTTCCTTTTAATGAGTCAAACACTTTAAAGATTTTGTCACTGACCTGATGAACAGCTATACTTCACCTGTAGTAGATAATGTCCATCTCCCCCGCCCCCACACAGAAGGCACTGTATCTTAGACAATGTTAACCTCTGTTTAAAACCAGCAGCCTGTGCTTCAGTTAAACTTGAACATTTATTTAAGGAAATCTTGTTTTGTTTGACTACAGTATACATTTTGCTTAATCTTGCACATTTGAGAAATGTAACTTAATGTTGAACTGTACTGATGTATATAAATGTTTAATTTTTTTTTTTGTCTGTAAATGGGAAATGATGTAACTGAGTTATAGGTATGAGGTTTCATTTTGTAACTTAAAGCTGAGTTGATCAGAGGAACATATCACAGTCATTGGCTAAAAAGCAGTTAAATTAAGACACAGAAGCGGATGTGAATTCATTCTGTCCTTTAAACTTGTAGATTTTAAAAATATTTTTACTTCATATTGATCATGCTTAGTGTAATTGAATGAAATGTTTATAATTACACTGTTTAATATGAAAATAAATGCAAATGAACTTCTAATTGGTTTGGTATGGTATGGCTGGTATCTCGTGTGACATGTCTTCTGTGGACAAGCTGTCCATAGTAAGCCAATGTGAAGGTGGCTGGTGTTTTCGCAGGCAACAGGCTCTTATGATGTTGGATATGATCACTGGTACCATATCAGGTACAGTGGTATCACCTGGACACGGTTTTTAGCTCTTCACAACATTACTACACACAAGATTGCTCGGGCGGGTGTTGGGGTACTAGAAAGGTCTGGCCTGGGCTCTGCTGTGCCAGAGTTTCTCTGGAGAATTAGAGAATCGCCTCTGCAGTATGTGACAGTCGTGGAAAGGAAGGCTGTGAATGTTGATGCCCATGAACTGGTTGAGTGGTGAATTGTCCAGGGCTTTACTGTCTTAGACGTGACTTACAGGATAGAACGAGATAAGAGAATATAGTTTAGAATATTAGAAAATGGTACATTCACTTCCGACCAAGATTGTCCAACACCGTGCACTAAGTGTTGTTTTATGCACAAACACCCTGTGCTGAGTGTCAGCAGGACACAGACAAGATTTGCGCTATTGAAATGGCACAAAATCCCCCTCCACTCAAAAGGGTTAGGGTTGACAAGATTTTTTTAATAAGGGAGTGAATTTAACTTTTTTGAAGAAAAACCACATTAGACACAATTTTTTATTCAAAGCAAAAAAATTTTTCTGAGTCTTAAAACATGTCTGGCTGGGGATCTTTTTTTAATCCAGTTGTGGTGCTAGTGTCAATACAAGTGGCACTTTGGGCTTATTTCAAAAACAAATTAAATGCAGTATCACAGATTAGTCATTTCTCTCTCTAAAGAAGAGTCAACAGTTCTCAGAAGGAAACACTCACAGTCAAATTAATTAAATAAAAGGTGAATGATTCACTGCTGTTAGCCCACATGCTGCTGTTTTCCAAATCTATTGTGAAATGACATCAGAACATGCAGCAACATTTTTATAATTTTATTTCACATTTCAATGCCCTTGTAAGATGAATGTCCAGTCACGGTGACATTCAGACCTGCTGTGCAGTTTCAACAGTCACGGTCATAGCAGTTATGTAGATGGGTATGATACTAACAGGAAGAACTTGTCCTCGTTGCAGGAGGATAGAGAGGTATTATCTGAATTCATATTTTCACATGGTATCAAGATCTTAAATTGTGCCAGTCCTTTTGAAAAACGCCCTCAATATTAGGAAGGCTGGACGTAGCGATGTGGGCGGAGAACACGCCATTGCAAACATATAATAGGCCAAAACCAATGGAGAAACAAAATTCAACAAATACATAATAGATTAATAAATAAATAAATAAATAAATGATAATAAAATCACATGCAAATGTATGACAGGCAAAACAGACACAAACACAAACAAAACAACAAGATTCTATAAACCAAGACAATCTAGGCTACAGTGGGATTGTACGTTTGAAGACGAGTTAGTTTGGTACCCAAGCCTTAGCCCTTTTTCGAAGTCCCACCCTCTTGGGTTTTCACAGGATACTGTATATAAGAATAAAAGCTATTGCTAGATCCCAAAACACCCAGTAGCCAAAGCCTAGTAAGAGCAATCACATGCACTCAAGATCCATCCTACTTAAATGCTCCTGTGCTCCCCTTTCTGTTTGGTCATCACTGCATACTGGCATGGTTTCTGCCAGGGAAACAAGCCAGGGAGTAACATTCATCCATCGATCAAGAGTCAAATCCAACCGAAATATACAATATAAACTCAGTGGAGTGATTGTGCATTCCCCTTGCATGAAGGGATAAGAGCCTGTGGGAATGGTCTGAGGAGACAAATGTAGATCCAGGCACAAACAGGGCTGGGGCAGGGGGAGGAGGTGATGGGCGGGTGCTACACACCCACGGCGTTCCCGTTCACTTGTGTCGGAGGTCGCGGGGGGAGCGGGCTACGTGGGGGTCCAGCAGGTGGAGGAGGATGGGGGGCACGCGGAGCCTCCGCTGAGTTCCCTCTCACACTGACGTGCTCCCACCCTCCCTGGAAGTCAAAGACACATGCATCACTGGCAGTATGCGAAAATGATTGTGAGAAAATGCTCCTACATTTGCACATCTGCATGCATGCAAAGCTCTCATTTCTATCTGCTAATTTACTGTACATGCATGTTACTTAACTTATGCACTAGAGGGCACTAACAAGGCCACAATATACAGGAAACATGTTTTAAACGCTGTTGCCACCGAGGATTGAGACTGGTTCCTCTGTGAGCCTCTGTAGTTTAGCAGAAACCTCCCATCTGAACCATTCATGACTAAAGGATAAGACTGCTGATAATCTGTATTTTTATTACTGTCAACAAATCCTGTGAAAATACCAAAACCAACAATGTGCATCTTCCAAGCTTTATTCTAATTCCTTGAGTGCCAACATTAAAAGCAAGTATTATCATTTACAATACAGATATAAATGACTTTGTTTTCTTTTTTTTTTTTAATGAAATGTGAACTGAAAGGCCTACATTTAACGATTATGAACTCACCCCTATACCATAGTCCCAGGACTGGCCCTTGGGTTGCATGGGTCCCACCCCCAGCCTGTGGCAGACAGCTCCCGGAGTCTCAGCAGGGAAGCCTGGAACCCCGTCTGCTATGATCCACACCTGGAGAGAACAAGCGCACTGAGCCAAACACCAGCCATTCATGGTTTGTTATCAGATATACTGTATCTCACAGTCCACAAAACATCCTCTTAAAGTTCCTGTTGAAACTTGTCTTTGATGGGTAAATCAAGTGTCATCATTACTGTCGACATAAAGTAACCTCAAACTGATTTCCTGTCCTCACCTCCTGTCCACTCCACAGTTAGGAAGGCAGTCGCAACACTGACCTGATCCAACGGTCCCACAGAAACCTTGGTGACGTTGTTCGAGATGAGTTCCCAGGCGGAGCCCTGAGGGTAGCTCGGGGTGAGGCCCTGTCTGTACCACAGGTTACCTACAGGACATTCACAAAAGGAGTTTAATGCCATTTTACTCATGTTCTCTAATTTAAAAGGGTTTTAGAAACACTGTACTCACTGCTTTCATCTACAGCGAAGACAGAGGTCCGGCCCACAGACAGCTGCCTCAGGGTCTGCCTTGGTGGAGAAGGGATGTGGTACCAGCATTCCCCTGTAGAGGGACAACAGCACTGTAAGTTTGGCTTCATTTGGATCATTGCTGAGTGTATTACTGGGCACTGGGTGCATGCACTCAGATGATTAAATGCTGAACCTTTATTTCCCTTTCCTGCTGCGTACATTCTGACTTCTTGTCCTGCAGATCTGAATCATTGTGATACTGACTTTGAGTTTCACGCTCTAAACTGACCTGCAGGGTTTTGTTGGGACACTGATCCTCTGTAGAACACAGCTCCATCCTTGGCGATGGCCCACACCTGGTTGGCTCCGCCTATGGAGATGGACTTGAAGGCCTGATCTGTGCCTACATGTAGCCAGGAGCTGCCCTGTAAGAGCAGACACACTGGAGTTAGAGAGCAGTGTTATTTTCAACTTCAGTGTTTGCAGCGAAGAAACAAACGCAAACTGAAACTCAGGAATTACAGAGAAATGACAGCAATCTAAGAAACTGACCTCTCCCTGCTGCACTCATGTAAGTTTCCTCTGTTTCAGAGTTAAAGTAAAGTTAAATTATACTGTCAGAATTACTCTGCACATGTTCCTCACCGCTGGGTTTTGGGGGCTGACTCCCAGTCGACACAGGACATCTCCCTTGTCATTGAGGGCCCAGAGAGGGACCTGCTCCATCCTGCTCTGAGCCAGACATGGCATCAGAGAGATGTCACTCAGCGGGATGGGTGGGACCTGCTGCCACGGACCTCTCAAAGTGATCTTACACTTCCTGTATATAGAACATATGATTGTTTTGATACTGTAGAAAATTGTGAATTACAAACCACAAAAATGTGTCAGTGTGTGCGATCACCTCGTCCATCTCCTGCGCCTGACAAAGTCTTTCATGGTTTTGTGGCCATGAAACGTCCTGCAGGAGAGAGAGAGAAGTTACAGACGAGCGGCACACAATGCTGATTTTTTATTTTCTTCTTTGAGACAACATCCTGAGACAAAGCTGTCACATACACAGGGAAGTCTGCAGCATACTGCCAGCCCTCTTTGTCTGTTCCTCCAGGGACATTGTGGTCCACAGCCCACTCTGAAACCTGAAACACAGGTGGATGACGGAGGATTAGCTGATGATGAAACAAGAAATTAAATGTGTGTGCAAGAGGAATTGTGACTGGGATTTGACCTTATGACAGCACCTACCCAGGACCACTGAGGGGAGGGTGGGTGTGTGTTGCCTTTGGTGCACTCTTTCAAGCCGCTTTCATCGCTCCACATGGGGCGGTCTGTAGGAAGTCCTCTGGAGAAGCGAGCCAAAAACACAAGCAAAACGCTTTAGCAAGACAGCCAGGCAGACGGCCTTTAACTGAGCACAGCTACGCAGACCAAGTTTGACTTTATCAAACAGTGTAAAAGACAAAATGTTCCTACTTGTCTGTATATCCTGTCATAGGGTTCCATCTTTGATTCTCATACACATGTACACTCCTGACATCAGTCTGCTGGTGCATCTGAACGGCATCTCCTGCAGTAAACACAAACATGGACAAAACTGTAATGGAAGCAGACAATTAGTTTTACATTTGTGTGCATACATGACTCTACAGCTGCAACAGATGGTTGATTTGATTTTTGAACCATGCTCAAGCAATTGCACACCAAACTACAAGCTGTTAGCAAGAAGATAGTAAGTTGATTCTGTCTTGTGCATTTGAAAGTTAATTTTTGAAATTAAATGTGACATAAATTTGGAATTATGTAGTAAGTAGTTCTTAAGCTAATGATTTTTTTCATTATAGATCACTGCAACAGTTATAGATTATGGCATTAACATTTAGCGTATGAATATAAAACAAGATAAATTCAATTGGAATTCTTAATATATAACTTTTAGCAAT